CGGGCCCAGCCGCTCCGCGGCACGTGGGATCCTCCCGGACTGGGGCACGAACCCGTGTCCCCTGCATCGGCAGGCGGACTCTCAACCACTGCGCCACCAGGGAAGCCCTATGGGAACTTTTATCACTTTGCTCTCTATTTAATGAAAATCATTGGAGAGTCCTTGGAAAAGAACCAGAAAACAAAAGCGGAGAAAGCAGAAAATAACAAAGTTTAGAGTACAGATTATTGAAAGAAGGAACAAACAAAAATTGCAGGAATTTACTAACCAATTTAAAAGGCTTCGTTTTAAAAAGAATAATAAAATAGTTAGACCTCTAGCAAAACAACCTTCCCCCATGCATTATAAAAAGGAAATTAAAAATACAGTAGAAATTTTACAGATTCTAAAGAAACTTGCATCCAATATGAAAAATTAGATAAAATAGATAATTTTCTAGAACATAGGAATTATGGACATTTGCCTGGGAAGAATTAGAAAATTGGAGTTGTATATAAAATAATAGTCTAATACCTCTCTAATCTCTTCACACCGCTGTCTGCTTACCTCACCTGCCCTTTAAAAAAGAAAAACCAGAAAGGTAAGTTTACAGTTAGTTCCTATCCTATTCAAACTGTTCCACAGTATAGAAATCATGGAAATCTATCAACTAATTTTGATTATTGTTAGGGTGGGGGGTAGGCTAGGGTTACTGTTATGTGGATACCAAACTTGGGCAGAGCTGAGGCAACTATAGGCCAGTCTCTCCTATGAACATAGATAGTAAATGGTAAATGAACTGTTAGCAAAGTGGATCCTTTAGTACATTATAAAGTATGTAAGTACAGAAGAAGTTCTATGGATGTGGCAAATAAGCCTATGAGAAGATGCCCCACGTCACATGTAATTGGGGAAATTAAAATAACAATGAGATATCACTGCACACCTTTAGAATGGGCAGAATCTAGAACACTGACAATACCAAATTTTGGCAAGGATGGGGGGCAACAGGAATTCTCATTCATTGATGGTAGGAATGCAAAATGGTACGGTCACTTTGGAAGAGATTTTGAGGGTTTCTATAAAACTAAACATCATCTTACAATGCAATCCAGCCATCACACTCCTTGGTATTGACTCAAAGGAGATAAAAACTCATGTCCACATAAAAACCTGCACATGGATGTGTATAGCAGCTTTATTCATCATTGCCAAAACTTGGAAGCAACCAAGATGTACTTCAGTAGGTGAATGTTAAATAAACTGTGGTCCATCCAGACAATGGAATATTATTTAGCACTAAAAAGAAATGAGCTATAAAACCATGAAAAGACATAGAGGAACCTTAAATGCACATCACTAAGTGAACAAAGCCAGTCTGAAAAGTATGGTATGTACTCTATGACATATGGAGTATGTCAAAGTATGGTTTCACTCTATGATATTCTGGAAAAGGCAAAACTGTGGAGACAAT